CACCTGACAGCATGTGCGCTCATTCACTGCCATGCTAGGTGAGGCCCACCTGACTTCACTTGAGCTCAGTCAGCTGTGTAGATACCTATGTCCAAGCCAGTTTCAGCCTGGAGCCCAAAGTTTAGGGGCTGAACCCATGAATCGGAGCAAGTGAGCAACATCCCGCCCCTCGCTCGTGGCTTGGGAGTTGTTACCTTGGCACATAGACAACCTTCTGGTTTTGTTCTGAGCTCATGCAAGTCCCCAGATGGCCCTAATGTTCTCTGAAGGAGCAAGAGTCCCAGGTGCACAAGGCACTTCTCTACTGTGTGTCTCCGGTGACGCCATCCAGTGAGACTCTGGCCCTCAGGGGAGCCCCTGGATACACTGGTACTGTTACGTTCCTGGCCCTGCAGAGCTGCGCCCCCTCGCCCGGCCATGCAAGTGTGTCTTGCACAGGTCAGACCATCATGTGCACGGCTTCAGCCCCCAGGGGCATCCTGCCCTGTCCCCCACCCCTGTGCCCCACCCTGACGCCCATCTCTTGCCCACCTGAACCTTTGCACGCCTGCACCTGTCTCCTCTACCAAGCTCACAGTGAAGCCCAGCTGTGGTCACTGCCGACATCTGCGTGGTCCTCCTCTGGTGCCTGCTGTTGCTGGAAAGCGTTTGCATGAAGAGAAGGGCACAGAAGGCGCGCAGAGGAAGGGAGACACGGAATAGAGAGGGCTGTCCTAGAAGCTTCCCATACAATCTCAAGGCCGAGCCCAGACAGGACCCAAACGGAGCAGCTCATTAACTATGTTTGTGCAAATTATATTTGAAATGATGCATTACCTAATTGGGGAAAGTATTATTAAAATAACTCCACTCATCTCTTTTACTGCTTCGTGTCACGTCCAGAGGCTGTAATGTGAGGTCTCAGGCCCACGCTGTGCTTCTCCTGGACAGCGCTGCTCCGTGAGTACGAGGGACCTCTGTCCGAGGCCAGCCAGAAGGGCCCAGCTGTGCCTTGTGTCTTTATGGAATTGTTCATTTGGCACTTTTCCTGTCATTACTTAACGTGTTTGTTCACTAGTGTGGAGGATCCAACTCATATAGCCTTGCATACGCTAAGAGCATGCTGTGTACCCCTGCTCTATTTTCTGTTATTTTTAAGGTAAAGCAACACTAACAGTAACATTTTTTAACAGGCTCGTTGCTGCGCAGGTTTGTAGTCTATATTTCCAGCTCCGCCACATCCTCAGCAGGCTGCGAGACACACGCAGTGAGCAGGCGCTGCCCCTGACCTGTGCTCAGTTCTGCTGCCGCCCACCCGCATCTTACTTGGGGATTTAAAGGGATCAGGTTCCACCTCACCGCACGGCCCACTGCCCAGGCAGCTGTTGCAGAGGGTGCCCTGGCAGGCTAAGGCCTGGCTCTTCCTGCTGCTGTCAGTGGGCGAGCTCACGGTCGCCACACCATCCCAGCTCAGCCTCCTCAGTGCTGCACAGCCAAGGAGACAAACCTTTTGTTAAATTTCTTACTGATGAAATTAAAGAGGAAAAAATATTCAGAAGTGTAAGTCCCTTCCCAAGAGGTCCAGGGGCTGGGAGCGGGAGGTGGATGGGACAGAAGCTAAATTGGTGCGGAAAGGTGCCCGGGAAAAGGTCACTGTCACATTTAACACGAACAGTAGTGTCCCACCACCATTGGACAGCCAGGAGCAGCCCTCAGAGGGGGAAGAACAAGAGCCTGAGCTGACATCAACTCCCGATTCTGTGGTAGAAGTGACCAAGAACGGAGGCAAGAAGGCCCTTGTACTGGCCTGTCACTGTTCAGAGGATGAGGTTGGAGAAGAAGAGGAGGCTGAGAGTGACATTTTCTATCAAGGACGTTAGCTTTCGCACCACAGGAGAGTCCGAACAGAAGGACACTAATTACACATTAACACAGATTCCTGGACCAGGCCTTGTGGGACCACCGAATGGGTCTGCTGGCTGATGGAGGAGTGGGCAACACCTTTGCAGATGAGTTGGGGGAGCCCGGCCCTGAAACATCAAGAGTGTGTTGCTTTTCTTGAAGACCTCAAAAGCTTTATGACTAGCCAGTAGAGTTAGTCAGAGACACTGAAGAGCTAAACTTTATGTGGCCAGAAAATAAAACCCACCGTGACAGCAGGTGCTTGTTCTTAGCAGTGGTTATCATCCTAACGTTGTGAGAAAAATATATCAAATTTAAATTACCGCTGTCACACTCAAGGACTATTTCTAGTGGTGTTTTTTATAACATAATAATGGACATTGCAATTGTTTTATCTCCTCAAAAAAATAAAAAGGAAGAAAACAGGCTCTGAAACTTACATGTCTACAAATACTTATGGATGTTTGCAAATACAGATTTTGACAGCTGCAGCTGAAGTTTGGAACAGCCCTGGAGCTGGTGTGGACAGAACTGTGAATTGTGTCTCTATCGCCCCCAAGTCCAAGTTGTTCTGCTCCGCATTTTCTTAGTTCAGGAAGGTCGCCACGTTAGTCACGCCTGCGCATTCCACTGCACATGACGCCATAACCCCAAACAGATCGCCTTCCACTGGCTAAGTGCTTCCATATCTTAGAATTTTCTCAATTACAAGCATTATAGTGGGGCTGAGTCTGTAGTTCAGTGGTAAAGCACTTGCCTAACACATGACAGGGCCTGTGTTTCATCTCAGTACTACAAAAATAATAGTTTAAAAAAGGTAGGACTATAGCCAGTGATGGTGCATACCCTCTTGCCGGAGCTCTGCAGGCTGAAGCAGGAAGATCAGGATTCAAGGTTGCTTGGATTACATAGCAAGGTGAGGCCCCTTTGCAACTACTTAATAAAACAATCACAAAAAAGGTCTGGAGAGATAGCTCAGCAGGCTAAGCACCTGCCTGGCAAGTGCAAGGGCCTCAGTTTGAACCCTGGTATCGTATGCCATGCTGGCCCCTGAAAACGGGCGTGGTGGGGCACACCTGCAATCCCGGCACTGAGGAAGCTGAGACAGGAGGAGCAAGACCCTATACCAAACAAATATATAAAAGTTTTTTTAAAAATTAACCTTTTTCAAAGCTAAAGAATTGTGGTTCATAGACAAAAGTTAGTGGAAAGTATAAATAATTTCAATTTTATTAATTTTCAATACAATTTTGGAAAGGATTGCAGGAGACTAGGTTACAAATTTCAAACAGTGACTACACTGAAAATAAAATTTTAGAGAAATGTCAGCAGTGCTGTGGCAGCTTTCTAAAAGTTTAAAAAATTGATTCATTTATTTGGATATACGGTAGGCCCTTCAGATCTATGGGCTCAGCACCCACAGCTTCTGCTAACCATGAACTGAGTAGTCATTTAATAATATCTGTACTGAACACGTACAGGTGTGTTTGGTCCTTACCCCCTACATAATGTCCTAGAACAGCTGTGTATGTGGCATTACATTGCAGTAGGAATTATGAGTAATTGAAAGATGATCTAAAGCATATTGGGGGATACATCCAGGTTATATACAAGCACTGTCCTGTTTTATATAAAAGATACCAGCATCTCCAGATTTTAGTATTGCGCGGTGGCCCAGGTGAGCCGGACACCAAGGGGCTGGATCCCGAGAATAATGATCCCGCTCGTGTTATTTTAAGGATCAAATAATATGTGGTTCCTTAAATTTTTCTGTAATGCACAAAACTATACACTATTTTCTCTTTCTAGAAAGAACTTACATTGGAATATCATTTTTTTAATTTAATGTTGTTTATTTTTGTTTGTTTTGTTTTTAATGTATTTTGTTGTTTCAGGGTCTCACTGTGCAGCCCAGATTCATAGTGATCCTCCTGTTTTCAGCCTCTCCAGCGCTGGGATGACAAATGTGAGCCACCACGCCTGGCCTCTACGGCCGGCTCAGCCTGCCCTGGGGGTGGGGCTGGCAGGCCATGTGGTGCTGGGTGTCAAACCTCCGGCTCTGGGCTTGCCTAAGCTTGCCTAAGCAGGCGCTCTAGTGCGCTGAGCTATCTTGCTGGCCTGTAATTTTGTTTTATTTTGAAGAGTAAAAACAAAAGCAAGAATAAAAATCAGAAACAAATAGAGTAATATACAATGATAAATATGTTACAGATTTTCAAAAGAAGAGTGGCTAATTAACAATGGTTGATATATTATCTATTTTTATAGTCAAATCTGTTGCTCAAACTAACAGATATAGTTATGTAAGATTGGATATATGGTTGAATATTACCGCTTGCTTTCAAGAAACCTTAATTTTTTGTTATTGTCTTTTACTCCTTCTCTTGCCTTATTTTAAAATGTATTCGAAAGAGAGTATAGTACTAAGTGATACGACATTAGAAATGGTGTACAATTAGAAGGCCAAGATGGCAGGCATTCAAGTAGGGCTTTCGCCTTACACATCACTGTCCTCGATGTAGTTGCTTAGCTGCCCGTATCAGTGTACAGAGTTAGCCAAGGGGGAAATTCTACACCTTCACTGCTATTTTCAAAAGCCTGGTGGAACTTCCTCGCACAATCACCTCAGCCACGCTGGAACGTCACTTCAACGCGATCCTCTCTGAGTCTGCCGCTGCCAGCCCGAGAGAGCGAGCGCGGCCCTCGGTCCCTGGGGCTCGCAGACACAGCAAGACACCTGGGCGTACAGAGTACTGACGGAAAGAAAGAAAAAGTGCACGCTCTTCTGTTGCAGGAGTTGGCTTCTCTCTGAAGCACCTCTTCTGTTGGTGGCCATGTAGTGGCCTCTGGGGTCGCCGTCACTCTGTGTTAACTGCAGTGATTGTCCATTTTCAGGGCATCTTTCTCCGGTCTTTTTTCTTGGTCTGAGGGACTCCCGGATTCACAGACACCCACGTTCCAGTGTTCCGCCAGGATAAACGGCTGAGTTCTGTGTTCATGGACTCGTCTGAGTCCTTTCATTCGGCTCCATCTCTGCAAAATTCGGTCTTTGGATCCTACTGTGAGCCTTTGGTCCCTCCAGCCACCTTTCTGCATGCACACACACGTACACATGTGCACACATGCACACACACACACACACACACACACACATGCATGCACACACACATGCACCATCCAATTCCAACTCAGACCCTTCCTCAATCTCAGTTCAGCTCCCTGGAGCCCTGTGAGTACCCAGTCCAGAGACACGGGAAGCTGGGGGACTTGAGTCCACTTCCCTCCTGACACTTAACACCCCAGGGACATTAACCCTCCCATCCACAGCTAGGCATGAGGAAAATTCTCCCGGAAGGGCCTCAAGTCACTGTATCTTCCTCAAAAGACTGAAGTAGGAACAAACGCAAAACATTCACTCTTCCTTTCACGGCCATCTGTACCGTTGATTTGCTGCCATTCAGGTGTTCATGTGTTTTAGTTTTAAATGGCACAGCCATGATTTGGGCCATGCGATTTTGTGTTGTGTGTTACGTTCTAGTTTTTTCAACATAAATAAGTAAATGCTTGACTCACGGACGGCACATTAAAGGCTGCCCCGATGTTCCCGGATCCCCGGAGGCCCTGCAGCAGGTTCTGAGTCCCATTCTCCAGCAGCCCACTGGCCTCAGGCCCCCCGGAAGCATGGCAGTGGCAGCTCCAGACACTGCAGCCTTCAGTCACACGAAGGACACTGCAGGTCGATGCTCCATGAGCCTTGCTTCTGAGTCATGGTATGTAATTTCTGGTAGTATTCTTTATTATTCCACGTTTGTGTGAAAGATGATGTCCTCGGCAGGCAGGGAGTAGAGTGCGGCCAGGGAGTTTCCCACAAACAATTGAGTCAGAGCCTTGCCTACTGCTGATTAGCCTTAGTGGGGCAGGGACAGAAGAAAGAGCTGGTTATGTATTAGCAAGAATCAGATTGTGATTTAAAGGCATTAATTTGGTTGACCAAACGTATGCCTGCGATTAGAATGCAATATTGCTGCGATTATAGAGCCATCAGCACCCTATTAGGGCACAATCAGAGTGGAAGCAAGCCCTGCGCGCCCACCCCAAGCCTCCCACATCTTTCTAACTCAGTCTGTGAACGTTTTCAGTCGACTCTTTCATATTTCTCAGCTGCCATATTTCATTTTTTTCTTTTTAATTTGCTCACAGAAAGAAAATATCAAAGCGACATTGTTGAGGAATGTGTCGTGTCTTTCCAAATGTGACTGTAAAGGACACAGAAATCAGGCCTCATCTGTGCGGCTGTATAAAGTTGCTGCATTTCACTGACAAAAACCTAAGGCTCGGGGTCTTCTGCACACAGCTAATACACAAGGACTAACCATGTATTCATGACCAATAGGCTTCACGCTATTTCCATGACTGATAAACTTTAACAAATATATTTTTTGATGGTGCTGGCAGTGGAAACAAATACTTTTTTTTAAAAAAAAGAACACTATATAAATGTGTATGTCCATCAATATTAGCATTAGATATGCTTACATTTTTAAAAAAATCTTGGTATATTAAAATTGCTAAAGTATAATGGCAATAAAATATTTTATTTAAATCTTACATGAGAACCAAATTTCTAGCTTTCTTTGGCCACATTTGAAAAACATATTATTACTTTTCTGATCCTAAATCAAATCAGAAAGGAACTCTCTAAAGCATTTCGCCCGCCTTATCACAAAAGAAAAGCTAGAGTATTCTCAACCGATAACATCTTGATTTCGATGACCATCCAAGATCACAGCACCTATAGTTTAGTGTGAGCTATCTTCTCCGGCTGTCCTGTAATCTAAACTTCAATAAAGCTTTGTTGTTCCCCAGGAAAATGCTTGTTAGAGCTCTTACCTCGCCGTGGTGTCATCCTATAGATTGGACTGCTTGCTTCCAAATGGTTGAGACACAAAGAGCTACTTCACGTACACAACATGCAGTGGCTTAGCTTTGTTGTCTTTGACCAGGGCGAGGTCACGCTGCTGATTTCGTGGGATTAGATTTGTTTCCAGACAGCGGGCTTGGGAGCAGGACTGTCTTTGTGGGCGGAGGAGTGCAGAGGCCCCTGGACACTGACCTGGTTGTTAAGGAGTTAGTTTCTCCTTCCCAGGTTTTCACTCTCGAAATAATGACCTACTGGATCTTACCAACTGGCGAAAGGTAGCTGTTCCATTTCAGGTGTGTTGTGTGCTCATACCAGGTCCTCACCATGAGTGTGCCCGTCACATGCTGCAAACTTGTACTAATTTTTTCAAACATTTCGGATTCTGCTATTTAAATAATCAAAGCACACATAAAGTCAATGAATGGGTTACTAGCTGTTTTACTTTTTTTTTTTTTTTTTTTTTTGGCATATCTTGCATACAAAAGTTTTCATGAATCTACTTTTCCAACTTTGGCTTTTTTCTTTTTTTCTTTTTTTCAATACCGGGGATTGAACTCAGGATCTTGCGCTTGCCAGGCAAGTGGTTATGCTACTGAGCTATTTCCCCAGCCCTAAAATGGCAGGAGAATTTTTTTTTTTTTTTTTTTTTCTGGCTGGCTCCGAATGCCTTCAGGGCAGGTTTGGCTGGCTTGAGTTCTGGGGATCAAACCACAGCAACCTGAGCCTGACTGCTTTGTTGAAGCAGCCACTTAAAGAACAGAGCTAAGGGTCAAGCCCCCCAACTTTGGCTTTTTAATGTCCTACAAAATATTCCATGATTGACTCATTCAATGTATAATTATTATACTTTTGAGTTGTTTCTATTTATTAATAATGGGCTATGCAGCTGTCCCTACACATTTTTCTATCTTAATAAATAAAATTAATTGCTGCTATAATCTACAAAACTAAAACATTTTAAAATTCGTAATAGCAAAGAAAAACAACTCAATGAATTTTTAAAATATATATCAATTCAAGTGTAATGACACACACCTGGAATCCCAGCTCTTGGCTTAAGGGGCTGAGGCAGGACCACCATGAATTCAAGACCAGCACCAGCTACATAACGAGTTTAAAGCTGACCTAAGCCGTGTGACGAAATTTTGTCTAAAAAGAAAAGAAGAAAGAATGCATTATCTAATATGATAATATGTAACAGGCACGTGATGTTCTAAGCGACTTATACATATTACTTTAAGCCTTAAAACAAGCTCGTAGAAAAGGGGGCTATTTTTAAACTCTTCTACAGATAAGGAAGCCCAAAAAAGTAAGGCAGGGTGTGCAAGGTTACACAGCTGAGACTCCACCTCGGGCCTCTCCGATACGGAGAGAAGCCAGAAACCCAGAGCGATTGGATTACCACGGCAAGGACAAGCAGAGCCCGAGGTCCTTCCCGAGAGCAGATCCTTCGAATCTGACAGGCAGTATAAGAAAACGGACAGAAAACGGAAAGCAAAAGAGGAAAGCAAAGAAGGAAGAGGGCACCGAGGAGGGAGGAGGGCTGGGGCGGGCGGGCGGGGGGGAGCAGGAGGGCGGACAGCTCGGCTCTGCTGGGAAGCAAGGACCAGGTGTCAGTATCAGCCGTGGGAACCTGCGGGCACCGGCGCTTGCTAGAAGACAGGACGAGAGTGCTTCCCAAACTTCAGGAGAAGGTGCTGAACTTCCCCCGGAAGGACACCAACTTCTGTTCTCTATACTTAGTTAGAAGCCAGTCAAAGGGAGGAAAGGAAGCTTTTCTTCCCAGCAGCAGGAATTTCAAAAACATGCACGGACACGTGGCCCAGTGCAGTACAGAATATCTGTTGTAGTGGTAGGACTCGCCCGTAGCATGTGCAAGCCCCTGGGTCTGTGTGTCACACACACACACACACACACACACACACACACACACACACAGTATTTGGACACTGCAAATGCCTCCTCTTTCCTTGACGTTGCGCTGTAAGCCGTCGGCTCTTCCTCCAGCCTGCCCAGCGTGTCCCTGCACCCAGCGCCTACCTGTGAGCTTTCTCAGGGTGACAGCGTGCGCTCTCTCACCTACCTCTGTGCTATTTTCAGAATCCTCCCTCACGGCCCCGGCTAAGCAGAACACGCCAACCCCAATCCTCTGACACCTTCCTTTTTTTCTTTCTTGGTAGCATTAACTGACCTTACATGACATTACTGCGTGCTTTTGTCACAATTCAAAAGCTCTACACTAAAAGGGCAAATTTTATTCCATGAAGACTATATGTAATAAATAGCAATTTCAAAAGTTTTAAATATGATTGCACTATTTTTCTTTAAAAATTAGCTCAGCTTGCCGACTGCTGGCCTTTGCCCTCAGCTCACGGCTGGGAGTCCGTGCCCCATGAAGGAGCTTTGCTGAGCTCTGCTGCTATAGAGAGTGCCTGCGACAGAGCCTGGTAAGTGTTGGCTGAATCTTAAAATGAAGATTATCCTGGTGTGATGGAGGGATGGGCTGTAATCCCAACTACTTGGCAGGCTGAGGCAGGAGGATCTCAGGTTGGAGCCCAGTTCTGGAAACTTAGTGAGATCTTGGCTCAGCATAAGAATGAGAAGACCTGGGAGACGCAGCTCAGTAGTAGAGCGTTCCCAGTACGTGGCTCCTTGGTTCAATCTCCAGTGTCACCAAAAAGCACATAAACAAATAACTGTAGGCTTTTTAAAGTTGAGGATGGAAGACTGTCTGGTATACTCTTTTTTTTCTTAGTTTTAATTGACACATAATAATTGTACGTACTTATGAGGGACAGTGTGGCATTTTATTAAGTTACACAACGTGTGATACACAACTGGAATACTCATAATCTCAAGCATGTATCATTTGTTTGTGTTGGGAACACTCAAAACCCTAAGATCATCTTTTATTTTCATGTTAACTAGTATTTCTTATCATTTAGAAACCTTAGCTCATCCCAGTATTCTGGGAAATTAAGTCAGGAAGATCACAAATTTTGAGCTGAGCCTGGGCAGCTTAGCTATTTGGCAACCCTGTATTCCTACCTCAGAGAGAGAAAGAGAGAGACAGAGAGAGAGAGACAGAGACAGAGAGAGAGAGAGACAGAGAGAGAGAGAGACAGAGACAGAGAGAAAGACAGACAGACAGAGGCAGAGACAGAGACAGAGACAGACAGAGAATGACAATGACAGAGAGAGACAGTGACAGAGAGGGAGAGAGGGAGAGAGGGAGGGGAAGAAGGAGGGGGGAGAAAGAGAGAGGAAGAGAAAGAAAAAGAAAAGAAAGAAAGAAAGAAAGAAAGAAAGAAAGAAAGAAAGAAAGAGGAAAGGAAAGGGAGGGTAGGGGTGTACCCAGTGTGAAGACCTGACCTCAATCCCCAGTACCACAGAAAAGAAAGGACACCCCTCGGCCTGCTCCTCTGCCCGTCCAAGCGCCTCTTATTCTCAGCAGGCGCATGAAGGGGAGAGAGAAAACATCAAGATGACTGCCTAGCACTGAGATAGAAAAAAATAAATAAATAAAAAATAAAAAAGCCAAGCAGCAACACGCCGTTGTGGGTGAGGAAGATCCTCGGGTCAAAACCCCACGCTGAGGGATGAAGGGCAGAAGGGCTGGCGCCCTCGGGGGAC